CTAATTTTTTTTTTTTTTTGAGTTGGAGTCTTACTCTGTTGCTCAGGCTGGAGTGCAGTGGCATACTCACGGCCACCCCAGCTTCCACATACTGGGCTCTGGCAATCCTTCCACCTCAGCCTTTCAAGTAACCAGAACTACAGGTGTGTGCTACCACGCCCGGCTAATTTTTTATTTATTGTAGAGATGAGCTCTCAAACCCCTAGGCTCAGGCAATCCTCTGAGTCCCAAAGTGCTGGGATTACAGGCATGAGCCATCGCGCCCGGCAATCACTGCTTTTATCTTTGGATTTTCAGGGACAAGGACCCACCAGAGAGGCCAAGAGGATCCTTTTAGGCTAGTGGACAGTATGCAGGGCCCTGCCTTACCTACCACTGATGAGCTGGGGGCTGGGTAGAGTATGGAGGTTGATATAAATACAACCCACAAATTGTACCAGCACTGAGCTAAGCACTTATGATCAGAGGAAAACACTCAAGGTGGTTCTGGAAAGGCAGGCTGGTACCAAAAGACTGGGAGTCACATGCTTTGGGCTCTGGTCCCTGCTCACCCTCTGACTAACTGTGTGAACTTGAACAAGTGGCTCACCTTTTCTGGGTCTCAGTTTCCTTGTTTTTACAATCTACAAAGACCTCCTCCAGCTTTAAAAATTTCCTATTTGTGTAGGGCAGTATGGAAGGGCTGGGAGCAGTGCAGATATGCCTGGGTAAGAGGATGTGTGGGCCTCTCCCCTACTGGATGCACTCCAGTCTCATCCCTCCTAGTGGGTGGGATCTCAGCCCTATCCTCAGTACCCAAAAGTCCTCAGGGCAGACTGGAGTCAAATTTAGGTTTGAATACTACCGACTTTGCGACCCCTCCTCCTTTTTCTTTTTTTTTTTTTAAGGAGATGGGGTCTTCATATGTTGCCCAGGTTGCTCTCAAACTCCTGGCCTAAAGCAACCCTCCCCCCTTGGCCTCCCAAAGCACTTACAAGTGCTGGGTTACCTCACCCAGCCTTTGTGACCTTTTATAAGCGACTTACTCTGTCTCTAAGCCTCAGTTTCTTCATCTGTAAAATGGAGATACTAATGGTTAATGTTTACAGTGTATTGAGTGTTTACTATGTGCCAGGTATTATCCTAAAAGCTTTACACATATTAAGTCATGCAATCCTCAGGACAATGCCATGTGGTAAATACCATTCTTGTTATCCCCATTTTTACAGACAAGGCCCTTGAGAGATCAAATGACTTGCCCAAGATAACAGCAAATGTGGGAAACACAGACATGCTGGGCCAGATCTGCCTTCAAGGAAGCACTTGCGCCAGCTATAGAGAGGCTGGCAGTAGACTGGCACCAACTACCAGCTCCTTCAGCATCTGCCTCTGGTGCAGGCACCCAGTCTCGCTGGAAGTTGTGCCTTTCCTGGGCAGCCCATGCCCAGGGCCTAAGCAAGGTGAGGTTGTCACGGAGCTCCCTGCCCCACCCCAGGCTTCCTGGAGCCTGTGTTGCCATTTGACTTCTCTCTCTGCCCAACCCTATCTCTTCCCCCTTCTTTTCACAAGTGTGGATCTAAAAGCAACACCGAACACCCCAAACTCCAGTGCCTGCTTCTGGAGACCTCCACCAGTAGTGACTTGTAAGTGGCAGAGCTGTGATCTGAATTCAGTCTGGTTCCTGACCCTCCTGCTACACTGTTCCTCAAAATGAAAGATCACTTTTAGTGGTTATTGTGTGATTCACGAGACAGCGGTTGGTATAGACAGAGGGCTCAGGAATCAGTGGTTATTAGCTTTGCTGTCCCAGACTCTGCTAACCCTCTCCTTCCTGGGAGAGACGCTGGTAGGACAGGTTCCCCAGCTCCAGGGCGGTGCTGGAGTGACAGTCCCAGTGAGGGCAGGGCCAGGCCTGGGAGAGGCAGTGAGGTGGGGCGATGGGGGAGTCCACCCTGCCCTGGAAGGGAGCTGGGGACTGGGGAACAACAGGGGTGCCAAACACAGGGGCTGAGATTTTTTTAAAAAGCAGGAAAGATACATGCACACTTCCAGGGACGGCCAAGCGGAGCTGGGTGCCTAGTATCCAGGTCCAAGGAGTCTTACAAGGGACAGGCAGACGAGGCTATAGCCCCAGGAGTCCTCAGGATTCTATCAGACTCTGCTCCAAATCCCTTACATTTCTCCTCTACCTTCCCCGTGAATTTATTACCCGGCCCTATTATGGGGTAGGACTCTCCTTTCCCTCCTTTCCTGTACACCTGCCCAGAAAGATGACTTTCTTCCTGTTCTGCCTGTTTCCCTTTCTTCCCAGGAGAGAGTCTTTTCTGAAGTCTGACCTCCATCTCTTGTGCTGCAAGACTGTTCCCGGGAATTTGGGCTTCTGTTAGGAATGGGGCAGGGGCGCCTAACTAGGCACTGTTAAGGAGTGACCAACACCATTACTCACAATAGTAGAGCATACTTGGCAGCCTGGACTCCACCCCTGTAACCAGACCCTCCCACTCCCTGAGACTTTCTTTCTTAGCCTACTTAGCAGGAAAGAATGGTGAGCCCTGGGGGGTCCTGGCAAGAGATAAAAAACACAAGGAGGCCCTCTCTGGCTCTACAGGTCTCTTTCTAGGTCTTTCAGGCTTCCTCTCCCTTTAGGGACCCCGACTCACCCTTGAAGACAAAGTTATAATCTTCCTCAGTTCCATTCCCCATCTTGGCTCTGCATGAAGGATGCAGGTGTCTTTGGGGGCAGAGGTGACAAGTCTGTGCCTTGGCTCAATGCCCTCAACCCTCGGCTCTCAAGAGACCCGGATCTGCTCCTCCTCTCATTGGGGGCAGGAACACGTCTGCAGACAGAGGGACTGAGGTCTGACTCAAGGCTAGGCAGGGCCTCGGAGGCCCAGCTCTGGCAGGTATGGGTGCAGTAAGGAAGCCGAGAGGACGGAAGCCGGCTGGAGACCTGGGGCCCAAGTGGGTGGAGAGATGATGACGTCAGACAGGTTAGACAGGTTGGGTGTCTGCTCTCAGCCTGGGCTCCCGCAAGGCAAGCCTGAGAACCAGCTCCAGAGGGTGATAGTGGGGGAAGCTAGGACTGGGAAAGGAACTTTGGGAGAGCCTGCTGAGGCTGAGTGCATGGCAGGCCTCCTGGGACCCACGGCAAGGGGTGGCCTCACCACCTGTGAGAAATAGCACCTCAGAAACCCACTTGGCTTCTTCCTTTTCCTTCATAGTCTCTGGTGGGGACTACACTCGGGGTACCAGAGAAAGGGCTGATGGGATGCTGGGCTCCCTGCCACAATGCAGAGATGCAGGGGCAACTTCTGCCCCTCCCTGACAGCCCAGGCCTGGGATGGGCAGTTTCTCATCCTGGGTGAAGCTGGGACTCCCAACCTACCCACTTCCCTGGATGGGTTCCTTCCTATGGTGCCGGGCAAAAGGTTGCTAGCTCCCTATACTGACCTGGTCTAAGGACACTGGGTAGTGGGAGACCTGGAGCAGACCTGGGTGAGTGGTTTGAGTGTAGGGGCAGGATCTGGAGATGAAGGCCTCAGAGGTCCTCTGGGCTGCTTCTATTTCCTGCAGGACCTGAGGCCTCACAGCAAAAACATCTTGTCAGCCAAGGATTTCAAGATTTAGAGAGGGTCTACATAAGCAGATGAACACTTGAGAAAAGAGGAAAGGGGTGGCCCTCTTCTAGGCAGTTAGGAGGCACCCCCAACCCTAGAAGTAGAAAAGCCTCCTGCCCCACAAAGCCTGGACACTGAACTCACAGCACTCTACATTCTTTTTTTTTTTTTTTTTTTTTTGAGTTGGAGTCTCACTCTGTCACCCAGACTGGAGTGCAGCGGCTGCTCCCGGCCACCGCAGCCTCGACCTGCTGGGCTCCGGCGATCCTTCCGCCTCAGCCTTCCCAG